TTGGTGTGCGTTCATGTGTGGTTTACAAAAACATGACCAAAGAAAGTCAATTGAACCACAAAGCTTATACAACAACACTGTATCATTTCGACCCGTACTGCATAAAAGAAATTTTACGAATAGTAATGGTGCGGTTTGATGGCCTATATTTACTTTTTTTTTTTTTTGAACATCATGGCTTATATTTTTACATGTGATCAATTTTGTAGATAAAACAAAATTTTGCACCGTGTTTTTTTCATGTCATTGATATCCTATATTTACATTCCTTAAAAATAAAAACATAAAATGAAAGTCATTATGAGACTAATCCAAGCCCTCTGTATCCAAATTTTTAAAAACTTGTTAAATTATTTTGATATTTTCATGTGAATCTGGGAAAAAACAAAAAACAAAAAAACGTAATGACTCCAAAGAACAGAGAGATGACAAAAAGCGTCAATACTTTCTTTTGAAGAGGACCACACTACGGCCACATAACAGATGACGTCACTTTTGTGGTGTAGGACCCTCGCCGTAATCCAATGGTTGTTCTCCATCTCGCGCCGTCCGGTGCACCGTCGTTTTGTGTGTATGGCAATCGAAATCGGAATACAATTCTTAACGATTTTGTTCTTTTTTGTTGTAATTTTGCTTCTCTTGTCTTTTAAGCATTAAAAACGTTTGTTTTCAGATTCAATATATATGGACATTAGGTTTTCGGACTATATTGCGGATATTGTGTAACAAATATTATGTTTTGTGACTAGTTATTTTCACTGTGATACGATTCGTAGTAGTTGTACGAATGAAAACTACGTACGTAGTTCGCTACATATACAAATTCACAAGCTACGTACCCATCTATTGAGAATGTAGAGTGTTTTTTTTTCTTTTCTATGTTTAAGGGTTCACTTTATGTCTATTAAATACTTGGCCAAATCCCGGATAGAGATTATATTGTAAACTTTACTAGTATGTTTTTTTTTTTACCTTTTTTATAACCAAAAAGTAATCTTGATTTTTACCATCCGACTATCCTCCAAGATAAGTGTAGCCGTCGAGTAGTCCATTCATCAATTTTTTAATGGGTCTAAAGTGTGACATCACTTCAACTGACCAAATAGAATAAGTTATAATATTTCCCGCTTGAAAAAAAAATAAACTCTAGTCTAGATCTAGATCCATAGAACAACTCTTCTACATCTTTACTAGTATGTTGCAAAAAAAGGACTTCAAAGTTTGTGATATAGTAAAACCAAATCGAAACCCTTGAACAAAAGAAAAGCATCTTGGACTAGAATTTATCTGTATTATGTATATAACTTTAGAGAATTTAACTCGTAGTCGTAATATATCAAAGATCCATTTTAAATACATACAAATTTCTTGACGAACTTAGGATACTAAGTTGAGCTGTAAATATTCGTACATTTCAAATATATAACCATAAAAGAAATATAATGAACAAACACTGTTAACAAAAATATAATCTTAATTAGTAATCATAACGAATCCAATGGTTCACGTGTACTACGTCTCCACTTTAGATAATCTAACTCATAGTCGTAAGAGGAAAAAAGAAAATTGGACCGACAAATAATCCACTGGAAGCTCCGGTATGTCTCATGCAGTGATAAAAAAAAAGACATCACAGAGACTCAGAGAGACCGGAAGAGGCATCAGAGCAAGAGGCCGTTGCGATCTCTCCACGTGTCATGTAAGTACAAACGGTGGAGCCCACATAAATCTTAGTTAGTCGTATATAGTAGACTGCGAGTGGACGTGGTTGTTGACTTTAGTCAACGCTTCTCGTGTATGAACTCGTTCGTACGTGTCTCCTTAATTTATTTCTAGTCAAAAATTATCAGCGGAATTATTTGTTTTGTTTCCCCCAAAACAATATTTGTTGGTAATTAATTAAAATTAGGAATATTGTACGATATTTTGAGTAGTACGAGTAATCATATACATACGTGATCGAAGTGTCGCAAGAAATCTAGCTGGATAGGAACTAAAGAACAAAGATTATGATTTATTAACAAAACGAGATTAGGTGCACCTAATAACAAATCTTACATGACCAATAAGAAGTATCCAAAGTTGTTTAGTCGCTACTTCTATTTATGAATTGAGATTGCTAATAAAATCTTAAACTCAACTATCGATTAAAATTGTCGGTAGTGGTTGCTTTCAAACTTTTACAATATATGCAATTAAAATTGGTTTATATTGGGATAAGATCTAATGGTACAAGTGATTACGGAATGGTTTTTGGTTGTTATCCTCACGAGATTGCGGGTAGGCCACGGTCGTGAATCCGTTCTAAACAAATTGAAACAGTAAGATCAAACTTGAAGTGTTGCCACTTGCCAAGTGAGTGGTGAGGTAATGGTGAGTTTTCGGGCATCCTGAATGATGTGCATTCTTAAATTTGGTAGTTTGATTTTCATTATCCAAAAAGATAGAATATTTTTCAACGAAAAAATGTATGAGACTCGGCCCAAAAATCATCAATTAATCTTTTGTAAAATTTGAAAAAGGATTATTCAAATTTTAGTTTCATTTTTTTAATTTATAAATATATGTTTTTTTTCTTCATTAACCGAAGGAATTATAAGTCGAAACCTAGGTTTATCCTCAAAACCTGTAGACGGACCAATTTTGTTGCAATTTAAGTTAAGACATCCATGATAATTGATCATGATTGAAATCAAAATGAAGAGACGTATACAATTATTGTTTAGGTCGACGAACATGGACCAGCACCAATTGATTTATATTTTTTTCAATATGAATTTGGTTTTTAATCCTTTGACTCTTTCATCACAAATATACCTTAAAAATTCACAATTTGGGTTTCTTCCTCCTTTTTCGTCTAGTTTTAGTGTTAATTTTGCGGACACTGAAAAATTAAACAAAATAACTAATCTAAAATGATCTTTTTTTTTTTGTTTTTCGAATAAATGTCTCAATTTAATTATTGACTAAGAAAAAGCAACTAAACTATAACAAGATAATATGAGTTTAGTCATTCTTTTCTCTTAATTTAACATTGACACTGATTCCATCATAACACATTAATCATTTCAAAACAATAGGTTAAGAGCAAGAAACCATCTTAAAATCAATTTAAATGTTCTTACCTTTTCGCATTCAAACGAAGAAAAGGCCAAAAAATCTATAGTTTCTGCTAATTTGTAAACTAATAAAACCTTTCAAGTTTCATGTAAGCAAAACAAATATCCAAGTTTATGTTAATGCCCACAATCAGACCTAAAATAAAATAATAGATCAATGTTAGCAGTGTTCATATATCCCCTTAAAGATACCGGTTCCCTAGACTCGGTCACAACAATCAATCGCACACAATAATACAAAGGTAAAGATGCTTCCACAGAAGTGTTACAGAATTGAAATACTACGAAATACATACAAGGCAAAGAGCTAAAAAGTCTTAAAAGTTGTTGCCTAGAGGTCACAAGCAGGTGTTATAAAAATCTAAATAATATTAAAAATATGGAGGTCGATGTGATTTGTCCAGACTCAACCAGACAGGCAGACAAATATCTTCATCTCCCAAAATTTCTTCCTTTCAATACTTTTTTTCTCTTCAAGCACATGCATGCACATACACATATCCTTATAATAAAATTCATTATATTCCGAGGTATGATTTTGTTTATGTAAATGTTAATTGTGAAACTAAATAAAATTCATGTTTTAGGCTTCTGACTCTTTGTTATATTAGGTACTGAGAAGCTATAGAGGACGCAGTGATGGGAAGCTGTAAGAGAATAAAAAAAAAGCAAAATAAGCAAAGCTACGAATTGTCACTACTCACTCCCTCACTTACCATTTTCTGCTCTTCTCTCTCTTTCCAAAAAACCAACTGCCTTACAAATCACTAAAAGACACCAATCTCTATTTTTCTCTATTTCACCCTTTTATTATTCAATTTTACATTTGGGTCCTCTTGCTCACTGAAGTAATCTACCTTTACGACCAAAACACATAAACCGAACCCGAAAGAAAACACCATTTTTTCTTGTAAACCCATCTGTAACCAACTCTACCGCAACCAAACCAAAAAATAGATCGAACCAAAAGTTTACCAAATTTAACCGGAGAAACCGGTTTTATATTTCCAAAACGGAATGCCTAACTAAACCCTACACTACTACATCCAAAATTATATTTGTGCTTCTTTGATGGACCGATCTTCTTTGTTTCAGCTTTCATTTAATTAAAATTTAAATATATTACATTTTCATAACACAATTAAGACATTTGTATAATGACTAATAAGTGATCAGGAGTTCAGGACGATCCTTTTTTTTTCTTCTTCACGCCCTTGCTTTGTGTATACCATCCGGTTAACCATGAGAACCATTTACCTTCTCAGTTGTCGTCCTCTCGTGCACCCGACCCCGCTTTGCGGAACAGGCTCATCATCCGACTAATTAGTTCCTCAAACGACGGTCGTTTTGCTGGATCACTGTTCCAAAAAAAATTGAAAATATATTATGGAATGCCCTTTAAAGTTTTGAGGGGAT